ATACTGACCTCCAAGGACGGGCAACTTTCTATTAAATCTTGCAACACACAAGGATTGCCTACAATAAATACAAATAGATGAAAAGCAATGAAAGAGTTTAACTGATTCCAAAGGGAAATTCTGAGGTGAAAGGAAAGCTCTTGAGGAATTTCTTGCTGGAAGACTTCGTTTATCTCAATGGGATTAGAGCTGGAATGCCCAGAGAGAGAAAGGCGAAGACAGCTTTGGAGAGTTAAGAGAAGGAAGATCTGATCATCCGCACTATGGGAAACTAGAAAAGGAGTTAGGCATCACTAACGGAAGTTGCCTCCCAGGATAGGGTCATGGAGTTCAGTGCTTGATAGGAGCCTAAAGCAACGCCGTTAATTTTTTTTTTAATGTCAACAAAAGATGGACTGTTAGCACCACAAGATTAAAATGGGAGTCTGAAACGTGTAACTTAGAAGATTTTATCCATCGACGTATGCAAGAAAGAGACATGAAAGCTGGAGTTCAGGAGAACTCCATGTACCGTGTCCTGGATACAGCCACACTTCACTTTGGGTGCAATATTCCAGTACCATCTGCTTCTCTCCCTTCTAATTCCTAGCATAAATCGATTCTCTGACTAGGAATGAATATACTGTATATTATATAGTAAAAACTCTACTAAAAATTAATAAGTTATCACATAGGGTAAATATACTGACAGTAGTCTTCAGTGTACGATTCACTCTAATGCTACTTTTTAAATAAACATTAGCCTCTAGTCACTTGGTTAGTCAAATCATCTCAGTGTATAATGTAAAAATGGAATTTCTGGTCCTAAAAGGTAAGAAATCCAAAAACATGGTTTTTCCAAGGTGTATGTGAATTTCTCTGAGACCGTTAAGGCAACATGTAACAAAGTCATATTGTTTGGAAACTCGTTATGCTGATGTTTCTCATTTTCATTTAATACTTATTTAACATTTTCTTTGTGCCAATTTCTATCAAATTACTCAGTAAATATTAACTCAATGAATTTCTTATGATTACATATGAGATCGGTTATCCACATTTTACAGACGAAGAAACTGACAGCCTCAGAAGATGATGTATCTTTGCCAAAGTTGACAGAGTCAGGAATCAAACCCATGCAGCCTAGCTCCCAATAGTGTGCTGGTGGCCACGATTATGCTGTTTCTCATGAGAGCAACACTGCATTTGGAACTTTAAAAAAAAATCTTTATGTCTAAAGTTATTATTTTAGATGTCTCTTCTTTAACATTTACAATAGTACAGAACATAAACTTTTTATTCTTCATGGTCAGATACAAAAGAATCTACATTTAAATATCTTACCGGTTATCTCTGTTATCATAGAAAAGAACATGTGTGAAAAATGACACAGGTTTAGATGATTTGAAGCTGAAGCAGCAGGTGAGTTCAGTGTTGACTCCGGTGAGAGAGCCTATGATGGCTCTGCCTTTTGGAAACTCCACAGAAAGAGGGTGACCCGCCTCATCAATATCAAGAAGTCTTGCTGGGGGAATCTCAACATTTAAAATTGCATCTCTGTTTAAAATTAAAAAAAAAAAATTGTAGCTCAACATATATGCAAATAATTAGCTTTAAATGTGTTTTCCTGTTTTTAAGATCATTAATTAAAACAATAAATATTTACAATAATATACCTAATTATTAAAGATATTCTTGCATATCTCTTATTTTCTGGTCATAATATGATTGATAATATATTAATTTAACAAAGGACCATATAAGATGATTGAAAGTTCCTTTTGTCCTCTAAGGATTAAAAAAGAGTGTTAAAACATCTGGTTAAATATGATGTGTTCTAAACTACAGCCATGCTATAAATAGTACTGTCCTTAAATATATAGTGACAAAAATTTACCGAAAATCACCACTTTAATAGCTAAAGCTTCATCACATGTAGACTAAATAATATTAACAGATGCATATACACACATAATTTCTTTTTAAATTTGGATACTATTAAGCACTTGTATACATATATCATGAATATTTTTCAATCGTTACTACTAAAAATTTCCACTTAATGTTCACATATTTCATTATATATCTATAAATTATTTAGCCAATCTAAAATGTTTGTAGTTTTGAAATACATAGTATGTAGTATTCACTTTTAAATCTAATTAATACTTGATAACTTTTAGTGGTCAATAAATATTTAACCATATTATTTTATTACATATGTAGGCTCCTAAAACAAATAAGTGTTATCAAATGAGAATCATATTTCTCTAGTATTTTAATTAGAATGAAGACTATCCAGCTAATTAACTAGAAAAAGTAAAGAAAGATCTCAACTTGAATGAGTTAAACTGATATTGTTCATTGGATAAAACATGAAAAAGTAATTTATAAATCAGGTTCGAATCCAATCCTGTCACTATTCAGCTAAGTGTCATTGGATGAATAATTAATGGGGTTGATTTTATTGTACATATAATGAAGAGACTGCATTACATCATCTCTAGTCCCTTTCATCACATGTTCATTTCATTATACCATATTTTGCAACTCAATCTTTGACTTGAGATAGGTTTTAAATTGATATCTTTATACTTTAATTCAAAAGTTGAAAGATTAAGATATTCATATATTAGACAATATTTCTTGATAAAAAATACTGATTAGTACGAAATAATATAAGCCACTTCTATTTCCTGTTTAAGCAATAGAAGCTAGTGTCTACTTATAAGATAAGGTCTTGAAAGAACAGCAAATCCCAAAGTTGTTAAGTTAAAGTTGAAGAACTACACTTTCTCGCAAAATGGCATTTTGACCAAGCTCTGTGGCCTAAGTAAGCACTCATCTTATCTTTCAGGCCAAGTGTTAGAAAATAAAAGTTGTTCTATGCTCTTCAACTTGGATAATTTTCATTTGTTTTCAACCATTACATCACATCTGGAACATGTTTTTTCTCTGTCTCAGGATGTTTAACTGTAAAATAAGGAATTGAACTAGAGAAGCTCTGAGGTGAGTACAAAATCTAAATGTTAATGAAAATAATGCTTATAGGCAATTCACATTAGCATATAAATCCTCATGATTTATATAATTTTAAGTATCAACTAGCTACTCTTTGTATCTATAGATAGCTGTGGATTTATAATTAAGAATTTGGCTTTACTTTTTGTTGTTTTAGATAAATATTATCGACATAAGTAGTCTTCTTTGAATTTTTAAAAGAATTCTCTCAATATTTTGTTTCTAAGATTCCTAATACAGTTGTCTCATTAGCTGAAGTTCATTCACTTCACTCTAGAATATTCATGTACACATATACTGCAAATTACGTATTCCTTTACTTGTCACAGGATATGTGTGCAGTTCCCAAATTTTGCTATTCTGAATAAAGCTACTATGAAAAATTTCAATTATAACTTGTAGTAGACATGTACAGGTGTTTTTCTTGTATATGCTGCAAAGTGGAATTTTGAGGCTGTAAAATATGCAGATGTTACACTTTCCATAGTATTATCCAGTGTGGTCCTACTCACTGACGCTGTAACTAGTTACCTGACTTTTAAATGTTTGCCTACCTAGGACAGGCAAAACGCTATCTTATTATTATTGTCTCTAATCGTCATCTCCAAGTTTATGAAAAGGTCAATTACATGTTTACAGATGTTCATTTTTTCATTTATGAATTCGCTTGTGTGAAATACCTATTGAAGCTTTTTGTCAACAACTCTATTAAATTATTTGATACTTTTCTGACTAATTTTTACTAGTCATTTCGTTAGCATGATTTTAAGGCTTGTTTAAGATAGCTTTATCCACAGACATAAAAAATTTTCTATTTCTTTTTACATTTTGCCTTTTACATTTAAGCCTTTAATCTATTTGAAATGGATTCTTGTGTATTATGTGAGACGGGAGTACAGTTTGAAATATTCCATACAGATAATCAATTGTTCCAGCACCATTTATTGAATAGTAATCTCTTTTCTCCAAAGATCTACGATACCACTTTTGTCATATAGTCAGTATCCATCTATGTGTGAGTCTTTTTCAAATCTATTCTAATCCTTTTTGGTCACTTTATCTATTGAAGCACCACTGTCACATTGGCTTAGTGTTGATATTTGGTAAGACAAGTCTATCTCATTTTATTCTTCTTCTTCAGGATCTCTTGGCTATTCTTGACCCTTAGTCCTTTCATATACAATTTAGAATTTTACTTATCAATCTTTATGAAACAATTTATTTGAATTTTTATTGCAGTTTTATAGAAGATGTAAATTAATTTGTGAAGAACTATCTTTTTTCTAATATAGACTATTTCAATTCTTGAATGTGGTATAAATCTTTAAAGTCTGAGTTCTTTGACTTCAGTTTTATAATTTTCTCCACATAGTTCTATACCATTTTTCTAGATCTTTAGTTTGGTTTATTCTTATCATCTTTAATTTTTAATGTTTTTATAAATAGTAATTTTACAGTTACATGTCCTGAATGTTGTATGCTGAAATGCTATTGAATTTTAAATATTGGACTTGTATTTGTCTATCTTGATATGATCTTCATCTTCATAGCTTTAAAATTTTACCTGTCAATTATTTTAATATCCTACATGGAAAGTCATCTAATCTACAGATAATGACAGTTTTGTAATTTATTTTCCTATCCTTACGTATTTTATTTCTCTTAACTCCCTGCGAATGTGTTACAGAGGCAGTGATAATAGGCATTCTTACCTTTCCTAAGGGGAATTCTTTTGTATTCCAGTATCCATAATAATGTTTCTTCTAGGTTTATAATAGTGAACTTTAACAACTTAAAAAATATCTTTTACTCCTGTTTAAGAGTTTTATCATGAATGGTTTTGGAATTTTATCAAATGCTTTTTTTCTGCATCTATTGAAACGATTATATCACTATTCGCTTTTATTTGTAAATGTGATAGATGAAATGAAAAGGCATTTTAGATTTTCTAACATTAGGCAAACCTAGCAATACTGGGATACATCCAGGTTGGACATGATCTATTAATATATTATATTATGTTTAATTCATTAAATATTATTACATCTATAGTCATAAGACAAATTGACCTAAAATTTACCTTTCTCATATTGTCATTATCTGATTTTATAATAAAAATACTTCTGACTTCATAGAACAGATAAGGGCACATTCTCTCCATTCTATTTTCTGGAAGAATTTGGACAAAGTTTGATATATCGGTTTCTTGAAAGTTTAGTAAAATTTGCCTGTAAAAACATCAGAGGATGGTGTTTTCCTTGTGGAAAGATTTTAAGTACTGATTCAAAGACTTTCTATTTATTCTCAGTATGGTTTTAGTAAATTGTATTTTTTCTACAAATTTCCCTTTTCATGTAAGTTTTCCAGTATTTTGGAATAAATGTCTTCATAGAATTCTGATTATCTAATTTTTTCCCATAGGATATATGGTTATGCCCCATTATTCCTACTATTATTTAGTTGTGTCTTCTCTCTTTTTGTTCCCCATCAACTTTACTATATTCATGTCCATTGTATTAGATTTTCAAAGAACCTTAATTTCAGTGAGCCTATCTTCTATATATTTGTTTTCTAAGCCTTCAATTTCTATTCTTTTTCATTTTATCTTCCCTTTTACATATCTTGGGTTTAATTTACTTCCAGTAATTTTTTTGTCTAATATCAGCATTTTAACTATTTCCATGTAAGTGCCATTTATGCTGTATTCCATAAGTTTATTTACTTATTTATTTTTTGCTTAATCACTGGAATTTTGGTGTTTATTTAATACAACAGATGCAGTTAATTTTAACAAAGATGCAGGCCTAATTGTTTGCCTAAAGAAAGCAACAGAAGTCACAGTAGCTGTTTTAAATTTAGTCTTCAACTCTAAAAATCAAACACTGTTTAAAGCGTTTGAATATATTATACGCTCATGATTCTCACTCTTTATTAATGTCATTTTCATGTTTTGAAATATAATATTTTAATTATTTGTTTGCAAAATTCAATATATTATTGACTCTGTAAAGAAGTTTTTTTTTAACATTTCCAAATGTATATGAGATGTTGTTGACATTTTCTTTATTGATTTTTGATTTATTATCCCTATCATCAGAGAACATAGTCTATATGGTATCAACTCTTTAAAATTTGTTAAACCCGAACTATGGAATGATACACTTTCAGTTTTTGTAAATATCCCACGTATGAGTGAGAAAAATGTGTATTCTCTAATTGCAGGGTTCAGTATTTTATAATACTATTTTAAGACTATTTTTAGTATTCTTAATAATATAGAATCAAATAAATGAAGCTTTTTAAATATTGTATTCAAATCCTCTTTATAAAAAATGTTTTTGTCTTCTGGACTCATCGGTAATTAAGATATGTGTTGAAATATCCTACAGTGATAAAGAACTAGTCAATTTTTTTGTTAGTTTAATTTGTGGTTTATACATTTTAAAATTACTTTAATCATGCAAAGAATTTTAGAATTCTATAGTTTCCAGGTGAGTTGTCGCTTTTATAATTATTTAATGACTTTTCTATATTAAAAATACGTCTTACCTCTTAAAGGTTAACACATGAGAAATTAATACTGCTATTCGGCTTTCTTTTGGTTATGTTGATATATCTTTTCCTATGGTTCTCCTTTGGTGGTTCTCAACTGAGAGTGGTTTTACTCCCCAGGGGACATGTAGCAATGTGTGGAGACATTTTTTTTCTGCCACAATTGCAGGGAAGTGCTACTGAGGAGAGGTCAGTGAGGCTACTAAACACACTACAGTGTACAGGATAGCTTCCAACAACAACGGAATTATCCTTTTCAAAATGTCAACAGTTCTGAAGTTGAGAAACCCTGCTTTACTTCAATCTTTATTTGTCCTTATGTTTCATATATATTTTTAATAGGCAGTTCACTTTTTTTCTTATTTACTCTAAGATTCTCTGTCTTTTAACTAGAGTAATTTATTTACATTTTCTTGCTTTACTCAACTATTGAGTTTTTGCCACATTTTTTTAGTTTTCTCTTAATTGTTAAAGTATGTGTCCTTTATTCGAACCAAGTTAAATGAGGTTTTGTTCATTTATTTCTATACGGCTTGTGTAGTTACACAAACTTAGGTTTAGTGGATGCCCTTAAATTTTAACCCTACGTGCATTAAAATTTCTAAAAGTACTATTAGTTGATTTTCAAATATATATTGTATAATCCCATGTTAATTACTAATTTTTGTAATGCCATATTTTAAAATAAATTATTTACATTCTGAGTCTGATAATTCAAATATCTGAATTACTTAAGAGTCTAAATTTCAAGATGGTTCGTTGTGCTGAGATTAATAAAGTCTTCCCTATTTGTGAGTTATGTGATGCCTGATACCGTGCTTATGTCTAACTGATAGAAACCTGTGGAAATTGAAATATGGGCCCAAACTGAGGATGGCATCATTTAGAGTAGAGATTCACAAAGTGTGGTGCATGGATTAGCAGCATCAGTATCATGTGGAAACTTATTAGAAATACAAATAATTACATCTCATTCCAAGCTTCCTGAATCATAAATTCTGAGAAAGAGACCTGACAAGCTCTGTGTTAAAAAGTCCTTTAGGTGATTCTGATATACACTAAAGTTTAAGAACTACTGATCTAGAGATGATTTGCTTGCTTCTTCTGATAGGTAGGACTTACTCACATGGAATCATTGTAGCCTCTTCCAGTGTTCCTGGATTAATCCAAAAATCTAAGATTGCATTTTCATACCTTGAAGTTATCTCGAGATTAAAGAACAAGGCTGCATTTGGCATGTTATTACAGCTCACCACTACTCTGCTCTCAGCTTATAAATATGTATTTTTTTTGTTTGTTTGTTTAACTCGATTTGAATCCTTTGGAGACCTCCCATACTTCTCAGAAGCCCAGCAATTAAACACACACACACACACACACACACACATGCATGTATACAATCTACTTGTTTTATAGTGTAAGCGTTCACAATGTATCCAGGCCAATATAGTATTGGAGTTTGGGCTATTAATAAATTTTTAAAAAATGAAAACATATTGCTTTCAGCTATAATGCATGCATAAGTTAGGCAAATTCTGAGAGAGCCCTCAAGAGTCCTGTCCCTTGTGTACAAACTCTGTATAATTCTCACCTTTTGGGTGGCAGGACCTGCAAATATGAGATATCATATTGGTGATTAACTTATGTTATGTGACAAAGATAAAGGGACTTTCCACATGTAGTTAAGGTCCCTAGTCAAATAAGTTTGAATAAAGCAAAAGGGAGATTCTCATGGGTGGATCAGACTTAATCAGATGAGATCTTAAAAGAAGGCTGAGGACTTGTGGGTGGCCTCTAAGAGCTGAGAGTGGTCTCAGCCAACAGTTGGCAAGAAAATGGTGTCTTAAGTCCTACAACTGCAAGGATAAATTCTGCCAACAACCAGAGAGCTTAGAGGAGGAATGAGCCTCAGATGAGACTGCGGCTATAGCCCACACCTTGATTTTTGCCTATTGAGACCATGAGCAATGGACACAGCTAAACTGATCCAGACTCCTGACTTAAAAAACTGAGATAACAAATTCATGTTTTAAGGCACTAAGTTTATAGTAATTTGTCATATAACAATTGAAAACTAACAAACTGAGTATTTAAGCTTGCTTCTTAAACCATGAAGAGACATACCAAAAATTTTTACAAGAAAATTAAACGACTGTTAGATAACTAAGTGGACTTTTTTTTATATTTTTAATTTAAATGTACAGTTAAATATTTTAATAGTTTGTTCCAACTATAGAAACAAGTCAGACATTGCACATGATTCATATAACACAAATACAAACAAAAAGGCACATAAAAAATGATAAACTAACATTAAGCATTTACCTGATATAATTTTGAGGTAAAATGTTGATAGTCATCATAGTTGTTACATCCAAAGGAACAGGGGTGAAAAACATGAATGGAGGGTCAAACGATAACTTGGGTGATGTTATCTCTCCAACCAGATGTAATGTTTGATAGCGAATTGAATAATTATTTAAATGCATAGGAATATTAGCTGTGTATTTTCTATGGTGATCTAATGAAAAAAAATTATATATTTAGATTAGTTCACACAAAAAAAAATTACATAGTTTAAACCTTACTAAATATTAAAATATACTATGAAGTTACAGCTCAATGGAGCAGAATAGATTGCCCAAAAACTGGATTTATCCTGCCAAGGAACTTAAGACATATAATGAAGAGTTGTTGAAATAAAAATCTTTCAAAGTGCACTATGTCTGAAAACAGAGCAAATCTCCTTAAAGTAGATATTCATTATTATGGGACACACATACACACACACACACACACATATCTTGAGGGACCATCCCTTTAGTAGATGCAGTATGAAGATGAGGTTAGATAATTGCCATAAGGATCTTAGGGGACTACTGGGGAATGGATGTGCTCAGAGAAAATGGATGTGCTTTCTTCCAGATTTTTAAGTTTATGAAAGGCCGCCTAGGGTCAACTGGCTAATTTTACCAGTTAGGAAAAGACAGGAAATTCCCATGTGACAATTCACTATAAGGAAAGGCAGTTTGTATTGGAGAAAGGGATCAGCATTAGGAGGCCACAGGCTAGTCCTAGAGGACAGATTCCATCACAACAAGTTGCCAATGCCCTTTTAGACTCAAATCCCCAAATATGGTGTCTCAAAGGGAGAAAAATGTTATCTGATGAGTGTGAATTCAAGGTAATGTCTTAGAATTCAAGAACTGGACACTGGAGTGGCCAGGCAGGGATCATGGCCATCGAGGGTATTACCAGAACAGAGGATGATAGTGTTCTGGATGATGAAGAACCATGTTCAAAAGTGACATCATTGTGAACCATAAACAAAAGCAACAGATTCACTGAATTGATCAGACCCACTAGTTCTCTCTGTACTGGATGCCTTTACTTAGTCAAATAAGCCCTTTACTTGTTTAAATAGTCTAGGATCCTTGGAAAATGGGAGGTGGCTGGAGAGGGAAGGAAATAAAGACTTCGTACCAATAATGACAGATGACTACTAGAAAGACTATGTGAAAATATGACATATTGTATCTAGGACTTGAGATGATCAAATGAGTTACAATGGAATTTATATACTTAAAACATTGTATAAAATGGATGGTTTCACTTATAAATATAATATTGTTAAAATTATTTTGGGGAAAAAGAAAATAGATTTCAGAGTTAGGCAAGGTTTTAAGACTTATCAAATTCTGAATTTTGAATGATCTCCTTTGAGATTATTTCTAGATTCATAGAGAAGGGGGTTCCTTGTATAACCTCAGACTACCAGGGATTCAATAATACATTTTTTTAAAGGTTGGGTGTGCTTTCTCTTTCATCTGAGATATAAGTTATATAAATGTGTTACAGTCATGTTTAATTTTTTTTTAGAGTTAGGTTGGAATCCTAAGGAAGGAACCCATAGATTTGACTGCTTGAGCTCAGTTCCATACTGAAGGAAAAATCAAATGGAAATATTTATTTCCTTCTAGATTGTCCAGTTCATTTCATATGGATATAAATTTTAACAAAGACATAAAGGAGAAGCTCTGTATAGGAATACAGATGGTGGCTTTAGCTAAACTAGCTTTGTGCTATTTCTTTCAGGATCAGACACAGTAGAAACTGAGAAGAAATACACAGAAATATATAATGAAAACTAATTATGTTTACAAAATAAACTTAAGAATGCAGAGAATAATGTCTTTATCATATTTTCAGAGTTCTAAACAGAGGTAATAAAAAGTGAAACATTTTTTAAACCTACTAATCAGTATCCTAGGTAATGTTTCTCACACATAAAATGAAAGCGGTTATACAATGCCACGCTAATAGATTTAGGAAACACAGTGCTAATAGAGTATTATTGAGAGAGAGAATACATGGCTCAAACTCTCTAAAAAGCTATAATAGGTTCTTATCCTGCCTTTTCTATTGATATCATAGCTAGTCATGGGTATTTTATTTAGACTGCCACGAGTGTAAAACCTAGTAGTGTTCCAGAAGTTCTGATGCAAGTGATTTACTAAGGGAGTGCTCTCAGGAGTAAGCTGAAGGTAAAGGCATAAGCAAAATAGGGCAGGGCAAGAAGTTATAAAAAGCTGTGGTTTTAGAATCCAGATTCAACCTGATCCCACAGGGAGGTCTGGGATGTTTGAATTCAACAGAGAGATTGTCTCTTCCAAGGGAGAGTTGGCTAGGCCACCCGAGGTGGTGGTGAAGCTTTACTTCCTGGGCATCTCTGCATGAGACATCTTCCTTAAGCCAAGGGCAACCTCTGGAGAAGGGGAAAGACAGAACCTATCAGGAGTCAACACCCACAAATGAAAGATGGATGGAAAAGTCTAGTCATGGGAATCTGGATAGGCCCAAACAGCGTATACAATAGGTTGTAATCCTAATATTGCTTCATAAATAAGGATAATTAGAAAGAATAACAGGTAAGTTACCATAACACCTTCTAAACAGGAAAACAGTTTGGAAATGGTATTTTTTTTGGTATTTGGCATATAGTTTACATATGCCAAAACTATGGCATATAGTTTATATGCCATGACTAAAAAAGCATACCAAATGCTTATTTACAGCATACGAACTATAAAGATATTGAAGCAGATGCTTTAAATTAAAGACAAATACCAGTATAGACTTGCTCAAAAAAAGAAAAAAACATAATTGTTTTTTCAAGCACCTTCCTGCTGTTCCTTTGTTCTTGTCTCCTTAAAGAAGCTAGATGTCAATACCCTCACCTCCTCAAGCTCATTACCAGAAAAACTGTTTTTATGAAGCAAGAATTCTCATATTGAGAATTTTCTAAGGTATGTGCACTCTGGGTGTCAGGCTTCTGAAAAATTGAAAATATTTACACAAGAAAAAAGGAACAAGCTTATCCAAGAGAAATGAGTCTAGCCACACAAATTAGATTCAAGAACATTGATTCAGATTCAAAAGGAATTGGAGATTTGCTTAGAGACCAGTGTGAGTCACATATACCATCACATCCCCAGCCTCTGTCTCTGTGGCAGTCCAAGGAAAGGACAATAAAAGCCTAATAAAAAGTAAAAATCACCTCACTAAAACTCTTCAAAGAACTAAGTATAAGGCAGCCCTGCTAGGTGGCCAGTATAATGGGGTCTAGCCAGAGTGTATCTGCCACACCTGAGGTGATTATTAATGCCAAAAGGTGCATCTACAAGGCAAAGGAAATAGAAGGGGACATAAAAGACCATGGCTTCAGATAAGAGGCTTATTCCACTGTCAGATTACCAGAGGAGAAAATGGCAGCACGAAAGTACAATCAAAGCCAGTGCCTGCCAGAGCAAAATGGCAGATGCTCCAGGATAGCCCAAAGAACAAGGCAAAGATCTCACCACGTATAACTGGAAGAAATCTTAAGCCAATTAGAGACTCACATTCCTTCTTAAAGAAGTCCTTCTAACATTTCCTGTAATACTGGTTTGGTGGTCATAAACTCCTTTAGCTTTCTCTTGTCTGGAAAGTTCTTTATCTGTCTTTCAATTCTAAATGATAATTTTGCTGGGTAAAGTAATCTTGGTTGTAGGTCCCTGTTTTTCATCACTTTGAATATTTTTGTGCCAGTCCATTCTGACCTCCAAAGTTTCTGTTGAGACATCAACTCGCAGTCTTACAGGAGCTTCCTTGTAGATAAATAACTGCTTTTCTCTTGCTGCTTTTAAGATTCTCTTTGTCTTTACCCTTTGGCATTTTAATTATGATGTGTCTTGGTGTGGGCCTCTTTGGGTTCATTTTGTTTGGGACTCTCTGTACTTCCTGGAGTTGTATGTCTATTTTTTTGACAGGTTAGGCAAGTTTTCTATCATTATTTCTTTAAAATAGGTTTTCAATTTCTTGCTCTCTCTCCCTTCTGGTACTCTTATGATGTGAATATTGTTAGGCTTGATGTTGTCCCAGAGGCTCATTTCCTTGGATTATTTTTTCTTATTGCTATTCTGATTGGTGTTTCCTGCTATCTTATCTTCTAAATTGTCTGTGGAAGGGCCCTCTGATTTGATCATCTGCTTCATCTTATCTACTGTTGATTCCTTCTACTGTAGTCATTTCAGTTATTGTAGTCTTCATTTCTGACTGGTTATTTTTTTGGTTTCTATCTCCATTTTCATGTTGAATCTTTGTTAAAATTCTCACTGAGATCATTGAGCATCCTTATAACCAGTATTTTGAACTCCGTATCTGATAGATTATCTCCATTTTGTTTAGTTCTTTTTATGGAGCTTTGTTCTGTTCTTCCAATTTGGGACACGTCTTTTTGTATCCCCATTTTGGCTGGCTCCCTCTGTTTGTTTCTGTGTATTTGGGAGAACTTCTATGTCTCCTGACCTTAGTAGAGTGGCTTTATGTAATAGGTGTCCTATGAGGCCCAGTGATACAGTCTCCCTGGTTACCTGAGCCAGGTTCTCCAGGTGTATGTCCCCTGTGTGAGTTGTGTGTGCCTTGGTTGCTATTTGCATGTCAATGGGAGGGACTGACCCTCAGGCTGATTGATTGTGAGGACTGGCCTGACCATTGAAGAAGCTATTCTGCAGGGGTTGACCCTACAGAACAAGATTCACTTTAGCAGGTGCCTGCAAAGTCTGCACTTTGGGTGTGTCATTTGTGAAGGTGGTTCTCCAACTCAGTCTGAAGTGGCCAGCCACTAGGCATGCCAGCCCTCGAGCCTCCTGGAAGGGGTCCCACAACAGGCCAAGTTCAACCACCACCTGTGCCCTGCCTGAGGCCACATGGTATGAGCCACAACATAATCCACAGATGTCTTCCACCTTTGCTGGGCTTAGAGGTGCCTGGGAGGGGTTAAACTGTGAAACTGAGGCCAGCTGCTGCTAGTGCTGGGCTTGGGGCTGTTTAGCAAGAGATACAGGGCATACTGAGGGCAGATCCTACTTGTTATGGGGTTTGTGAATCTTTAAGAGATCTTAGGAAACTCTGCAGCATGAGCCAAGACAGGCCATTTGTATGGAAAAGCTACTGGAAGCAACTAGGGTTAAGCCCATAAGT